TGATGTAATATTGTCAAAAACAAACCAGAAAAATTGTTCAGTTCCAAACACATCAGTTAGGAGAATAATCTCAAAACATTCCAAGCAGTCTACTTTGTTGTCATCTTTTGCCAACCTGTTTTAAATACAGATCTTAATATATCTTAGGAAATTTTTTTTTAAGAAAACTCCAATAGCGAAGTCAATGTTCCACATTGCATAGCTAAGTAATATCAGCACAACTGAAGAACTACACTTTAACGTCTCTGGCTTGATGCAGAATTTTTAAAAATAGCTTGTTTTCCACCTTATGATTGTTATCAGACCGACCTAGAATGGTGATTGCCAAAAGAATTAGAGATAACATGAGAAAAAACTATGTAATTAGTTCAAATTCAGAATGCACTGGTGCAGCATAGGGAGGGGGATACAGATTTCATGAGAAACCTTCAAAAGGGAACTGGATAAATATTTTATGGAGAAAAAGAAGAGATATGTGGAGATGAAACTAACTGAATCCTTCTACAACAGCATAGTGCAGACCCCGATGGACTGAATGGTTTACCTAACTGCTGTACAGTTCTATGATTCTCAAGCAAAAGAAGATTTTGCAACACATCTGAAATTCTTCAAAAACACTTTATAATTCACTCCATGACAGCCAATTATATTTCTCAAATCATATAGTTTCCCCACTAGAAGTTAATAATGTGAAAAAGTCTAAGCAGAAGTCCTATATTGGGGTCATAATAGAAAAAGGCAAAGTTATGGTTTAGTTTAAGGGCATCATTTACAGAACTCTCTTTAAAGAAAAGCATATAAGCATCTAAAACACATGCTTGCAATACCTTGACAAGGACATATCTCAATCATCTTCCTTTCAGACTGAAAAGCCTCAGCTTTTCTATTCTTTCTTCATGAGCTGCTCCATTTCTGACCTGGTCTGAACTGTTTCCAACCTCTGAATCTCTTACTGATTCTTATTGGAAAACATGTATGAATATTAAATGATAACAGAAATGGGCCATCTTACAAGATCATTTGAGGGCAAAGACAAACACTCTACATGACCACTTGAGTAAAATAGCAAAAGTTAAAATAATTATTTACACACAAGGTAGAGGTCTGTGCCAAAAACCAATGGTGAGTTTAGTCCATAAAATCTTTTAAAATTAGGCAGCTACTTGAAAAAGGAAAATAATAAAAGACGCATGAGGAAGTAGATGCGGAAATTAGACCAAGTAGTTTAAACAGCAAGAGTATCAGTACAGACTCAATTGGCCAAGTAACCCACGTTATAAAATTAAGATTTTAAGAATACTTCACAGAATGGAGGTCTATAATTCATTACACTTTTGATCAAAGGTTTAAGCAACCAGTGAATCAATAGATCAATTTCTCCAGCACTTCGGACTTGGGCTTCATTTCTTTTTCCTGAAAGCCAGGTTTATTTTTCATAATATGACTACAAGTAATGAGACAATTGTTTGCAATTGCCCAACTGAAAATGTTTCACTGGATCATGTGTTCAAACCTATATTATTCTGGGTAGTGCAATGGCTCAGAGGTTATTGTATTGTATTGTATTATATTATAAATTGTCTGCAGTGTCGAGGGATGTTCAGGCTAGGTGGATTTGTCCTGGTAAATGCGGAGTTATGAGAATAGGGTGGTGGGATGCTGTTCGGAGGGTCAGTGTAGACTCAATGGGCTGAATGGCCTCTTTTGGCACTGTATGGATTCTATGATTAAAAAGTGTAAGATGTATAAATTAGTTGTTAGGAAACAAGATACTTTAGTGATATTTGGAAATAAACTTTAATAGCCCTCAGCTAGTATAATCTCTTCAGAGGGTTAGTGTGGACTCGATGGGCTGAATGCTCCTTCCACACTGTAGGGATTCCATGAATCAGCTTACGTTTTCCTCCCCAATGTCTGTTGTAATCCACACTGCTTACAGCTATGTCCTTTCCAACTCCAAATATTTGTGTAGGTGTGCAACAACGTCTCTTGCTTAACACACACACTTGGCCTGGAGGATACCTGAATTTCTCCTCCTTCTTGGAGACAATGGTTTCGATTTTGAGATGTTTAAAAATATTTTGATAAATTTGTGTCAATTTCCTTTGTTTGAACCGTGACAAAACTCCAAATGGAATATTACTAACGATTCTCCCATCCACTCCAATTGTCTATAACATCAATAATCAAAACTTTCTTCCTCCACACCCCCAACATTTAGTTGTATCATGTAAGTGCACCCATCTCCCATCAAAAAGTCACTCAAATACAAATAATTTACATATAAAATGGGACAATTTGTAACAATATTTTCCATAGCAAATGTTTCAAAATCACACATCTCAACTTGAAAACACAAAAGACAGTCTCAGGATGTGCATCAATTGAGTGCTTGGAATTAATAGAAAACTTGTCATAAGCCTTAATTTTAAAAATGCACTTACAGAATATTGCACATTATTGTTCATAATTACTCTGACTTTAAAAAACTGTAAAAATAGTTAAAAGATGCACAAAGCTCAAAGCAGTAGATGATACGCCATCAATATTTTTTTTAAAAAAAGAGATCTTGTAAATCTACATCATAAGCTCTCCTTTTGGCTTTTCACAAACTCACTATTTTACAACCGTACTAAGGAGTTCCAACTGCATAATTTCCCCTATCCTCTGCAGTCAACTACTGGGGCAGCACCTTGGGTAGGAACATATGCAACACTGGACCCGCTGCTTAGTCCCGGATTAACATGATGGTTGACAGCAAGACCATTCAAGAATGTAGTTTATTTTTGAATACCAAATGTGCACAGAGATGATACCAAACACAAATGACCTCAAGAAATAATTGAGCTGAATTTTTTTTTTTACAGGGTTAAAAGAAAACAGAAATAACAACATTCAACTGTCAAAATTACCATAAAACTTGAGAATTCAAAAATGTGCCACGAGAAAGCCAACAACATAATTTATAATCTACTATATTGTGTAAACTTCAAATTTTGAATTATAGTTAAAGATAAACATAATATTCAATTGGCATAATCACAATTACTGCAAACTCCCTTTTAAAAATATGGAGTTCACTCCAACAGATTTGATATCTGCCAAATTAGATCTGATATCTCCTACATCAAACTTAAATCACAGCTCAGCTGGCAGATAACCAACTTGCATTTGTGCCTCCGCTGTTATGTAACTCAGTGAATATCGCAAAATAGAACACTTCAAAATGAACTGAATCCTATTTTTGATCTATATGCGAATAATTAGAAATTCACCTCAAATGAAAAGCGAAATAGATTTCGGGTCAGATTGTTTTGAATCAATAAATCAGATACCAATGAAAAGTTTTACACATCAGTTAAGACTCTCAGTGGAGTAGAGCATCAGAATCAAAGTCGTTGCATACAGCAACTCGATCACAAAGAATCACTGGTTTCTTAAGGATGGCACTGCGAGTTCATCAAACCGATTTACTGTGTCGGGTTTATCACTGGTCAGCCTTGGGACAATGGCCAATACTGCAACCGGGAACTTGACGTTTCCAAACAAGACTTTCACAACTGGTCACTAAACACTTGGGAAGGAGGAGGTAAAAAAAAAACACACAGATATACAACCCAAGCCGAAACGGACCATCCTCTCCACATGCAACGACACAGGATTCCCAGTTCAGTTTCCAATCCCCGGCACAAGTGGCTGACCGAAAACCCACCGCCTACACCCGCTGCCAGGGGCTGGGTGCTGACCGACTGACCTGACAGGCCCCAAATCAGAGCAACTACCACCTCTTCCCTCACACCCCCAACCCGTAATGCCCCTCGGACCCCGTCGTCCTGTAGAAGCAAACGGGGAGCGGGGTTCGGGGGGGGGGGGGTAAGGGGTCCGGCCCTGATTCCCCGGGCTCCCGAATTGACCACCACTCTCTTTCTCGTCCCCATTCACCGAGTCACGTACCTGAGGCGCTGCAGTCGGCGCACACTTCGTTGGGCCGCAGCTTTCGGGACATTTCTGCTCTCCTCGATGATGATGATTCTCCCGGTCTCTGCTAATTTATTCCCAGCGCTCACCTCCTCCCCTTACCCCAAACCCCCCCCACCTCTCCAGCCCCTCCTCCGACACCGGCCAGGTCTCCAAATCTCTCAGGGCCGGTGTGTTTAGCGCAGACGCATCCGGTTCGAGACAAGTTACTGAAAAACCGCAGCTTTCCACCGCCCGCCCCCATTCCCAGAGCAACCAGGAAATGACGACAAGACCCGGCCCGCGCGGCGCAGCCCAACCTGCTGCTGGTGGGATTCCCAGCGTCGTCACCTGACTGGCAGCAGACTTGCCCAATAGACAAGCGGTTACTTCCCAATTACGTCACCGCGCGCCATTCAGCTCTCACCAGCCGCTAAGTTTGGTGGACACTGGGCGAGTGAACAAGCACCAACAGGGGGCGGGACGTGTAGGTGGGCACCCGCCTCAAGGTGTGCTGGGATTTGTAGTTCTCGCCGGATAGCTGGTGCAAGGGTGATGTCATTGCCCAGAACGGAGCACATTCAGTTGCCTACCCATATTCATACATATTAAAATTATTTCCCCGGAATTGGTCAAAAACATGTAGCTCATTTTAAATTGCAAATTGCCACCAATATTTCTAACCTCAACGGACGAACTACAGCTCCCAGGAGGTTTTAAAACAGCGCATCTCCAATATTATAGATAATGGGGTTGGTAATAAATTTAAATTCATAACTATTGCATTTTTTCACTAATCAGTACTGATGCTAAATGGAAAAAAATCTATGGTACATACTAATTAGCCACTTTGTAGATTTTCTTTATATTATTTGAAATCTACGCTCCATACGTATTTTCAACCTGCATATTTCCCCCACAGTAACTTGGTAATTCCTCACCCTTCGATTTTCTCCGACTTCCTCTTTTCCCATACAGTGAAAGCAAGAATTACAGCGCTTCCTATCGTCCGATATTCAGCTGCCGAGCAATATAGGGATTGGTGCCTGTTGCCAGGGGTTTGACTATCTGCTGCAAAGGTAGTTTGCATGATATCTGGAAGAGAAGAATGATATCAGAATGATTTCTGCGAGAAGGGTGGCAGAAAAATATCCGTTGCATTATTTGGTTTGGCATAATAGATACAAGGATCTGGAAAAGGAACTTAGCACCAAGCAGGTGGGTGATGTATGTGTGTGTATGTGTGTTTATGGGGTGGTGCAATGCAAGTGGAATTGACTAAATGCTATCAGATGCAGGAACATAGACAAGTCGCTGTTTAATTATAAATCGGAAATTAAATGCTGTCAGTCGGAAGAATTGGAGATAATCTATTTTTTCTACATTAAAAATATTCTTGGACCCGAATTGTGACCATGTCCGTTTTCGTACATTAGGTTGGATGAAATTGTGCTAGTGCCGTACAATTAGCTGATTCCTTCGTTGGGTTGTGTATTGTTTAAATGTACTTCTTCCAATAAGGATTAAAAATCACGATCGCGAAGCTTTCATTATATATTGACTTTTAGTCTGTATTTTCTTCGGTCACTTAAAGACGAAATGTGCGGTTACTATTCTCCGCTTACTATCTTATATGGAAATGAGGCATCCATAGTAATACGGGAACCATATGTGTTCTGTAGTGGAAAGAAGATTATGCCAAGTGCTTTAAAATATTCCCGTAAATTCTGCTGCCCATTTTAACACCCAAAACGAAATCCTGAAATGGGTTCCAATATCAGTCGGTCTCCAAAAGGAAGTTGCCATATTGTGTGTGTGTGTATGTATGAAAAGAAAAGCATGTTGGTCTGTCAAAATAAATGTTCTGTGGAAGTAAGGCAACTACAAGCTCACAGCCAACTGATTGGGTTCAAAATAAACCGCAAACTAAACGACCCTGGTTTAATTATTTAACATAAACTTCTTTTGAGAAGATCTGGTATTTCAATTTAGTTCCAAACTATGCAGATACAAAAAATATTTTCGTAGGGTTGCACCTGTTTCCTATCAAACTGATAAATATCGTTTAACGTTCTGTCGTACTGTCTGATGTAGCTTTCTGGCTAGAATCAAACGATGTTTGATGAATTGTAAGAAACCTTTCGAGTCTGGATGTCGTTTTAGCATAGTTTCTCCGGTGTACAATGGCTCCGACCGACACTTGATACAAGAGGCCAGAGGAAAGGATGGGACTGTCATCTCTGTGGCTGCACGCTTTAAAGAGCTGAATGCACAGTTAATCACACAGGCGCCAACCACTCCGCTCCCGGCACACTGTAACATCGCTTTTCCAAGCATGGCCTCTATGTCAAACCAAGCTGACTGATTTTTGAGACAGTGGAAATTTGCTACATGGTGTAGAAGTGAAAAGCAACAGGGAAATTACTGCATTTATTAAAATGTCAGTATCACATTATTTTATTCAACCACCATGTCAATTGATTGTTAGAAAAAGCAATAAAGAATATTCGACAGATGTTAGCGAGATAAAGTCAGTAATATAAACCGAATCTCTATAACCAGAATTGTCCGTTCCCACATGCGGACTCAGCTCAGATTTTATACATTTTAAAAAAAGACTGCATGCAACGAGTTCACAAAACCTATCTGAAGAAGCACGTTATTGGGTTTGTGGAGTCAGTTCCAATTTTCGGGAGATCAGTAATCAGAAACTGAACAGGTCAGGCAGCCTCCGGAACAGAATTAACACGGCCCTCTCCAGAATTTTGGTGAAAGGTCATCGACCTGAAAAGGTCACTGTTTCTCTCCAGAGGCTGCCTTACCCGCCGAGATTTTCCAGCTTTTTTTCCGCGCTCACTTCGGATTTCCAGTATTTTGCGTTTGTGCCAGAAACGTTAAGATTGGGAGGCACAAGACACAACGGGAGGTCCTAGTCCAGGCAGGATGCTGATCTTCCTTCCCATTTAGAAGTTGGTTTTGACTTGAACTTGAATTGTTGAAATCAGGCGCAGAACTATTCCATCTGTCACTTGAGCGAGTTCCGATTTACACCGAGGCGGAGTCTGAGTAAATGGTTACAGCACAAAATACAGTCTTCGTGACCAGGAAACTGTTCTCATGCTAAGGGTGCTGAATGCAACTGACATTCCCTTGTGATCATATTGTACCTGTGGGCACGGTAATAACTGGCTACCATTTGGGAATCAGGGATTCCCAAAATAACACAAAAATGTGTTTTTACCCTTTTTGGAAAAGCCCAAACCACCCCACCCTAAAAGTAGCCGAAGCCCTTGGGAGGGCTCCGCTGCTTGTGATGTGCAGCAAATGCATTCTTCCTGCCCGTTCTGTTTTCGGTGTGACGGTAGAGTGGAAGATGCACACACCGACCCACAATCCGCAACTGACAGGTGAAAATACAGGAGATCAACATGACTCTGGACCGGAAATGCAGCAAACAGAGCAAAACACGTTTCTCGCATCCTTTGTGGAAACGGGAGAAAAGCCGCTGGCACACGGCGTCACTGAATGGAGCTTCAGCTAGATGCCGGAACTAGAGGAACGCTCAATGTATTCCGAGAATGCACAAAGTCTGAAATACTGCAAGCAATTACTAGGACAGAGTTGGGACCGATGATGTTAGGAATTGGGTGCACAAAGCCTTCAGTAAATGGAGTGAATGCAGAGTTTTAGATGGGGTTTGGGGAGGGGGGGCGGGATCCTGAATTTATCACGGCTGGCGATGACCGGGTTGGATCTAAAACAGCCACAACACCGTGATGGTTCCGTCCGTCTCCCTGAAAACCGGGGGCTGCCTCAATCAGTTTGCACCAGCGTTCTTGTACGACACGTGCGAGCTTGTGTATCATTGCAAAGTGTGTTCCAAAACGCGGTTTCTGCCGTAAAAAAAACAGAAACAGCGGCCAGTTCCTTGTCATTGAAGCCCAAGTTAGCTCGGGGTGACTATCAATAATCCAGCAAGCCACTGTCCAAATAGGCCCCATTTGGACAGTGTCTGACCGATAATTGTAACAACCTGTAATGTATCACGCAGACAAGATAATGGACGAGCAGCAGGGACATGGAGCTGATATTGGTGTGGGATTGCAGATACTGCCTGCACGGGAGGAGACAATGGACATCCGCCAGTTTAACGACCTGGGTCACAAACTTTGTCTTCTATACCCCTGTGCCCCATTCTCACAAATATCTACAGGGAATTGGGCCTTTGCTGTTTAAAATTACGGTAAATGTGCGAATTTCTTCGGGATATAATGATATCTTCAGATTCCTAACTACTGAGCTATTTGAAGATATATAAAGCCTATTTTGAGACTACTAATTGCATAAATTTGAAGTCACTCAAGGGAATTTCTGCAGAGATTTAATTCACAGTAAATAGTTTTTTTTGTGCTTTTGCGTCTGAAGTTTTGGGTCTGACGTCAATGAAATTGTGTACCTTTTAATAATCCAAGCGTTAGCAGTTATAATCGGTTGACAGATTGGTGTGGAGACACAGGGATATCAAATCTTTGCTCTCCAATAGCAGACATGTTGTTCTTTATTTCCTTTTAGCATCACCTTCCCCCATGGTCTAACAGCAAAAATACTGTAGATGATGAAAAATTGAAATACAAGAGAGTAACATGATTAACGTTTGCAGATGAAGATGATTAAGAATGTGCCTGGTTCTCACCCACACACATGCTGCCAGACCTGCTGAATATTCCCAGAATTTCTGTTTTTATTCATAATTTAACTGAATTGCCCTTTACTCCTTGAACTTGATAATGGACTGAATAGATTAACCATCATAGTTACATACCCAGACCACTTCATTCGAATAGTTAATTCATAACCAAGGAGGCATAAATGAAGTTGATGAGCTATAAGTGGAGATCACCACATAGAAATACAGTATGTGATAATGAAGACACAGCTCACAAATGGGCAAAACTAGGTATTAAATATGTTTCAGAGATAGTAGGAACTGCAGAAAATCTTCTTCAGAAAATCACTTCTGAAGAAGGGTCTAGGCCTGAAACGTCAGCTTTCCTGTTCCTCTGATGCTGCTTGGCCTGCTGTGTTCATTCAGCTCTACACCTTGTTATCTAGGAATTAAATATTCCTGAATGCAAGGTCTTTAGGAAAGGAAGATGGGCAGCAGTGCTGGATTGGTGTTGAACAGGAGACATCCAGTAGGCATAATGTTCTGGAGGGGTAAAGAACAAAATCTACTTGAGTACATCAAAAAACAATAGAAGTTCAATTACATCACCAGCTGTATTTTATAGGCCACCAATGCATCGGAAGGATGGAGGGGCAATCAAAGATTGAGTTCCCTGGGCAATGAGAAAGGTAAAGAGTAAAATGAAACAGAAAGATGGTGTAGGGATAACAGATATCAAATCGAAGTACAAGTGGGAACTAGGTTGAACGTCGAATAAGGGAGAATATGAAAGAGACTGGAAGTTAGTAAGAGTAGGATAGGGCTGATTAGGGATCAACAAGAGGATCCATGTGTGAAGACAAGAGGACAAGGCTGAGGTAATAAATTATTATTTTGAATTTTATCGAGGAATCTTTATCGAGGAAGAAATAGAGAATCATGGTGGTTGCTTTTTTTTTGAACTGGGGAAAGGTATATAGTGCTTTTCTGGGCTGACTACTGCAACTACTGGATTTTGTTATTACCAGGAATAGGGTGTACAGGGTACCGTCTCAACATTTGCACATAGGAAGTATTGTGAACTACGAGGAGCTTATAACACACAGAAGACGTAGGCTGGGGGAAATGGTGGACATGGCAAATAAAATTTAATGCAGGAGATTATGGAATGATTCATTTTGGAAGGATGGATAAGGAAAAGCAATCTGAAGGGGGTGCAGGAACAGGAAAGCTTTATGACATTTTTTCACAAATTGTTGAAAGTGGCAGGGCAGGTTGAGAAAATAGATGTATGGGATCTGTTATAATTAGGAGCAAAGAATTCATAAATAAGGAAGCTATGTTAAATCTTCAGAACCTCAACTGGAGTATTGTGTTCAATTCTGAGCACTCTGCTTTAGGCAGGACATGAAGGCTTTAGAGTTCACACAGCTATGATTTACAAGAATACTTCCAGTGATGAGACTCTACGGTTAAGTGAATAGGTTGGTGAAGCTGAAGTTGTTAGTCTTTAAGAAAAGAAGGTTGAGAGCGTATTTAATTGAATCATTTG